ATTTTCCTAGTTTGGAAAAGAAGTGGTAGATATATAGATTATAGACAATATCAAATGTTCATCTCTCTTGTTTTAAGCATATAATCATATTTATGAAGGTGTGTAGAAAAAAAAGCATGCTGATTTCCGCGGATGTTTCCTTCCTTTTCCATCTACGTACGTTATACTCTTGTTTCATTAATACTATATATAAACTTTCATTTTCTTTTGTTTTTCTTGTGATTTGTGCCACATCAGATCCAATACCTCCTTTTAGGGGATTCGTTTTTAGAACTGCGTGAAAATAATGAGGGAGATTTCCATGTGTCAAACCTAGTTTTATGAACCATGATTTAATTAATTGGGGATTATATAATTTGGATGGATGTGAAGGATTTGTACCTAGTTCTTTGAGTAAGGAATAAGGATCATTGATCCACATGCATGGATTCTGATTTTAATTTTACTCTATCTTGTTTGAATTTTAATTTTACAATGGTTTTACCTTGTTTTACCAAATAAATAAAAATGATTAATGTTATAAATGATTTTTAAATGATAATGAAATATTTAATATAATATTTAATTTTTAAAAATTTTTAACATTATATTTAAATTATGAATTTGTTAATTAATATGATATTCAACCTTAATGTGATTAATTCTAAATGATGACATTTGATTGATAAACAAATCTTCAAATATCATATTAATTAACAAATTTATAATTTATGTATCACATATTAAAAAAATTTAAAATTTAAATATTATATTAACATTTCATTATAGTTCAGCATCATTTCGTAGCATTATTCCAAATTAAAAAATAAAGGTTTAAACTTAATCATCATGTTGTAGAAAAATGGCATCTATATATCACTTTCCTAATTAATATTATTTTCTCATGTATAGCATTTTATTAATGTAATGCGGTTTATAAATAAAAGAATATAACATTAAGATTTTAAATAAAAATAACATTAAAGGTATGTTTGCCATTTTTACAATATTTTTACTACATAAAAAAAAAATCGTAACTACACCTACTCTTGTCGTTTCAATTTTTTTTCACATAACGTACTATGATTTGTTTTATCTAATTAGGGTTATGTGATTAAATTCCATTCACGGAAGAGATAATTTTACTTAATAAAATTATCAAAATACACTCCGTTTAAAAGTTCTCTTATTTTCAATTTCATGCTTAAGGGTGTCTTGCGTATTTTATATCATTGCTAACAATTAACTGACACTACTCAAGTTTGATTCTGAATTGGATATTCGAGTCAACTGGTAACTTATCGATCACTATGAATTTTTTATATCCGCGGAGCCTAATCTTTAGGATTCGACAGTTTTAGATAATATCTTTGTCAAGTTACGAATCGACTTCAAATATAATCGAGTTAAAACTAATTCGATAGAATCGACTGAGCTTACAAATAACTCGATCAAAAAGTACAAATTGGAGTCGAGTTTTCATGTACATTTCCTGATTAACCCTATGAGCACAATGAAACTTATTCAAATGATCTTATGCAGGGAACTTAGGTTCACAGTTTTAAGATTATCTTTGTATAATTGAAATTAACAAATAGCAATAAAACTTCATATAAGTAAAAAAAAAAAAAAAAAAGATACATTTTTAACAAATTTTCCTAAGTTGACAACTACCAACCATTTAAGTAATCAAAACAAATAAATATGGAGTAACAAAACCCATAAACGCACAAACTTACAAATTTATCCCTTTTTTCATGCTAAATTGCTCCGTGTATATACTTATAAAAACATATAGAAACGTAAGTCAACAAAACAAAATTCATAAAAGTCAACCTTCATTTACTAACTAACCATCAGAAGTGTATATGAGTCGAGTCAGCTTAATCAAGTCTCGAGCCTGGCCTGCCTATTTATGTTGTATTTATTATTTAAAATGTAAAAATATATTTATATTTATATTTTAATATATTTTTAAATTTATTTGAGAATTAAAATTAAATAAAATTATATTTTATATATTGTATAATACAAATATAATGATATAATAGAACTTTAATATAGTTGTATAATAATAATTTTTATTATAATCTATAAAAATCTACAATAACAAATCCACCTAAACCAAATCCAAAACATTAAAAGTTTTATACAATCCAAAGCCCAAATTAAATAAAAAAAAAATCAAATCCCAAAAACCAAATCAACCCAATTTAAAAAAGATGAATAAACATTATTTTAAAAAATGAGTAAGCATAAAGCTAAATAAAAAATTACAATAATTATTTATAATTATAATATGTAGAAAAGTCCATAATAAACTCACTTAAGCTTTAACATCATCCCATTCAATACCCAATTTAAAAATCTAAACCAACAAAACTAATTAACATAAATCCTGATTGTAGCATCACCATAAATCCTGAAAAAATGAAATGATATAGTAGATCTCAACTCTTTTCCACAATAATGAATCTATATTTAGATTATACAAGGGGGATCAAAAGCCATAACCATAAAATTAGCATAGTAGTTACAAAAATCAAAAAAGAATTGGTAGAATAAACACATTTTATTTATTCAAATAAATTGATTTAATATTTTTCAAATATTTTTTTTAAATAATTAAGTAATGAAATATAAAAAATTTAAATTAATAACATTTTGTGACTTTTCCCTACCATTTTGCTTAAATTTAGTTGTAAGGAGAATAGGAAAAGGTTTTCAAATTAAATTGAATATCAAGATACTGAAATTAATATGACAATATCTTATGACTTTTTCTTTTTTTTTTTTACCACTTTTATTAAATTAAATGGTTATGAAAATATGAATTTTCTTTTCATAGGTTTATCATTTTTAAATCCTTAATTAATGCAATATGACAATATTGAAGTTAATATAACAACTTTTCATATTCCAATATTTAATTAATACTAATTTATTAAAAAATAATTTAATACTTGCAAAAATTAATATGATAATTTATCATATTTCATTTGTTTATTAATACTATTTATTCAAAAAAATATTTTATTTTTATAATTTATCATATTTCATTTGTTTATTATAATATTTATTCAAAAAACTATTTTACTTTTGTTAATACTAATTTTTTGGAAAAAAGCATTTGATACTTGCAACCATTTGATACTTTTCATATTATATTATTTTATTTTATACTAATTTCTTTTTTTAAAAAAGCATATAATACTTCTATTTATTTCGAAAAGCTTAATTATATATATTGTTTATCTTTAGGAAAAAAACATGGCTAATCAAGCAAAGGGCTAACATTGGAACAGATATAATAACTTTTCAAATTCTTTTCAAAGATAATTTAATTAACATTAAATATTTATTAAAAATTAAACGTTTAATGAGCATATTCATTATTCAGATCTTAATTGTATAATATAAATATATATAATATCATAATAAATAATTATAATTATTGTCTATAAAAATGCTCAAAAATAAATACCCAAATCAAACCTGAAATTTTAAAAATTTTCTACAAGAAAATTATTTATAAATTTTTTATACAAAAGAGTGCGAGACCAACTTGCAGAATGAAATCTTCCCAAGCAACCGAGGCTAATTATTCATAACATCCCTCCTCAAGGAATGGGTCTGACCCTCATGGCTGATAGAGCTGGGGTGGCCTTCCTCAGAATCACAGCTAGCTAGTTTGGTTCGTTGTGAATCCCTTTGTTAAAAGAAAAAAAAAAAAAAACAATCTGAAAATAAAAATTGAAATTATAGATATTAAAATTTAAAATTATTAAATATTATATTTTAAAAATATTACATAAATTAAATCTTGAATTCAAATATACTCAATTTACAACCAAGCGCACAGACCAAAATCCATCCCCATCACTTTCTGCCACCCATTTAAAAAAAAAAAAACCTCATGTCATGCCGTAAATCTCTTGTATTGGCCGAAAAAAAAAAATCTAAAACCATCCACATGCCAACCCCCGGTACATGGATCCAACTCTTATCCTCCAGGTGTACCTTCTTCTATCTATTTACAGGTGTTATCTGAAATTGGTGACCATTAAGTTCAGGAGTGTTGGTAATGGTATGATAGCAAGAGAAAAACTGTCCAGGCCTTCTCTGTCATCTCATCGTTTCTTAACTTCGATAATAAGCTAGCACAAAACAAAATTAATCCCAATTCTTTTTGGCGCTGCTCATTATTTTAAAATAATTTTTTTATAAAAAAAATAATAGTTTAAAAATAAAAAAATGTTGTAGATATCAAAAACTAAATCTCAAAATTTGTCAGAAGTTATTTTTTAAAAACAACTATATAAATTAATTAAATTAAGTTGAAATAATTTTTAATTACCTCGTAAATCCTAATTGTTTTAATTTAAAATCTAAAATTTCAAAATTGAAGTCTCAAATTTTGGGATATATCTTGTTTGGAATACTGATTCCTCATTTCAAACTGATCATTCTAAAATGAAACGCAAAATTAATTATAGTCTCGTTTTAAGAAATAAGATATTAAATGAACCGAGCTGTAACTCCTAAAAATTTAATGTATGGTTTGAAATTGAATCCAAAGTAATTTTTGCTTTTAAAAAAGAATTAGAGGCATTTCGAACCTTCACTCAAGATATTTCTTATTAAAATATACATTAAGTACTGAAACAGTTTACCAATATAAAGCTCGGTTGTTATTTTTTTTTTATTTAGCCGCGAAAGGTTCTTTAGTTTTGTTTTGTAATTCTTTTTTCTGATTTAAGTAAATTTATTTACATTAAATTTAATAAATTTATAATAAATTACTTTTCAACCACAGCATAGCGAGCTATGATTTTATTATATATATACATATATATATATTTATTTATTTATTTATTTATTTATTTGTAAAGCTCTGTTGTCATTGAATTCCGTCTTTGACACACAACCCTGGCTTGAAAAAGATAGAAATACATACCAATTTAAGCTATAAAAGCGATGCAAACAAATTCAGTATGTGAATTACTCCTTGCCTTATTAATCAAAACTCGCCAGTCCCACAATTTTAATTAATACATTCTCGTGATGCCAAAGATTGTGGTAGGCGAATTAGCTCAATCTCACGTGCTCGAACCTAACTTTGCCTTCAATCTTAGTTTTTTCTGTATAAATTTCAGATTACCCTAAGCCAGTTCTCACAAGAGTATAGCTTTTGTTTTCGCTTGCAAACACTAGTTTTTGCATTCTGACGTTTCACCATGGCACTTGACAACTTCCTCCTCCGAGAGCTCATAGCAGCAGCTATTCTCTTCTCCATCACACGTTATTTCATTCGTTTTCTTATCAGAAAATCAAATCAAAAGCTTCCTCCAGGCCCGAAAGGGTGGCCGCTAGTCGGTGCTCTTCCACTCTTGGGATCCATGCCCCATGTCACCTTGGCCAAATTAGCCAAAAAATATGGACCTGTCATGTACCTGAAAATGGGAACATGCAACATGGTGGTGGCCTCAACCCCAGACACTGCTCGAGCATTCCTTAAGACACTTGACTTGAATTTCTCCAATCGACCTGCTAACGCTGGTGCCACCCACTTAGCTTATAACTCTCAAGACATGGTCTTCGCGGACTATGGCCCAAAGTGGAAATTGCTTCGTAAACTAAGCAATCTGCACATGCTTGGTGGTAAAGCCCTCGAGAATTGGTCACAAATCCGGGCTGTTGAGCTAGGCCATATGCTTCGAGCTATGTGTGAATCTAGCCAAAAGGGTGAGCCAGTGGTTGTGCCAGAAATGTTAACGTATGCCATGGCCAATATGATCGGCCAAGTGATCCTCAGTCGACGAGTTTTCGAGAAAAAAGGGTCAGAGTCCAACGAATTCAAAGACATGGTGGTGGAGCTCATGACTTCTGCTGGAATTTTCAATATCGGTGACTTTATACCATCCATTGCATGGATGGATTTGCAAGGGATTGAACGTGAGATGAAGAAATTGCATAAAAGATGGGATGTGCTATTGACAAAGATGATGGAAGATCATGCGGCAACCGCTCATGAGCGGAAGGGAAAGCCTGATTTTCTTGATGTTATTATGGCTAACAGAGAAAACTCTGACAGTGAAATGCTCACTTTGACCAATGTGAAGGCACTTCTTTTGGTAAGTCTTCTTCGCAAAGTTAAGTTACTTATTGATAAGTACATGATGTATAAACAATGTGAACATCGAAAGGCCTTACTTAGTAAGCTAAGCGTTTGTGAATAACACATAGGTCAGTTCGTTTTTTTTGGTGTATGCGGCTTTTAATTACAAAAAGTAAGATTTAAGCATTCAATCAAAAGATTACATGATTAAATAAATTGTTATACAGATTTTTTGTAACCAATGATCAAATAAAGATTAAAATTTGAGAATCAGGACCAGTATACTACAAATTTCAAATAATTTAAATATATTTGCATATTTTATTTAAATAAACACTTTTATTAAAAAATTTAACTAATTTTTTATAGTTCATTAAACATTTAATGCAATTTTGTGCATAACAATTATTTTAAATTATTTTGTACATATTATTAAATTTTTTTATTAAACTCTATCAATTTATTAATTTTAATTTTATTTAATCATTTTAACCAAAAACTTTACAATTTTAACTTAAAAAACTTACAAAGCAAAACTTGAGTTTTTAAGACAAAAAAATTTCAATTGAAGATCAAAACTTATATTACAAGCATGTTTCATGCCCTCGAGACAATATTGGAGTTAGGCCTGTGTAATGAAGATGAAAACTTTTATAGAAAAAAAATAATTTTTTTCAAAGTTCCATCTTCTAATTCTTATTTTTTGTTTCCATTGCAAGAATCTATTTACTGCAGGCACAGACACATCTTCTAGCATAATCGAATGGGCATTAGCTGAAATCATGAAAAATCCTAAAATATTGAAGAAAGCTCATGATGAGATGGATAAAGTCATTGGCAGAAACCGAAGGCTCGAAGAATCCGACATACCGAAGCTTCCATACTTTCAAGCCATATGCAAAGAAACATTTCGAAAGCATCCATCAACTCCCTTGAACTTACCCCGAGTTTCCACCCATGCTTGTGAGATTAATGGCTACTATATCCCCAAAAATACTAGACTTAGTGTCAACATTTGGGCAATTGGTCGTGACCCTGATGTGTGGGAAAATCCACTAGATTTCACCCCTGAAAGATTTTTGAGTGGCAAAAATGCCAAAATCGATCCACGAGGAAACGACTTTGAGCTAATTCCGTTTGGTGCTGGAAGAAGAATCTGTGCTGGAACCAGGATGGGGATTGTGCTAGTTGAGTACATTTTGGGCACATTGGTGCACTCTTTCGAGTGGATGCTACCAAATGGTGGGGAATTAAACATGGATGAGAGCTTTGGGCTAGCATTGCAAAAGGCTGTACCTCTTTCAGCCATGGTTCGCCCACGGCTCGCCCCAACCGTATATGTTTCCTAAGCTCAACGAGCCTAATCCAAGCCGCAAACTGTAGCTTGATGGTCACTTTTTATAGTTGTTTTGGGTAAGGCATCTGAAAATGAAGATTGATGTATTTTATCAATTGATGCTTCGTTTAGTTTCAAATCTATCCTTTCTTATTATCAAAAAAAAAAAAAAAAATCTAGCCTTTCCTTGTAATACATTGAATAATAGTTCTTTCCTTTCTGTCTACAGTATGGCATTGAATAAATAGACTTTCTATAATAAAAGGGAATTCATTCACCTCGAATTACCAGGTGTCAATCAACAGTTGGATGTGTAATAATTTTTTTTGTTCAGCCAAAAATTGGATTTTATTAAACCAAAAAGGTCATTGGATGTGTAATTATTAGCCTTTGTGATCATTAACATAGCTAGCATGCAAATGATGGTTATTTTTTGGCAAGAATGGATGCCTACGGGAGAAGTGATTCCCTCGTTTATCATTGCTAGTAACTTGGAGGTAACTTGGGAGGTAACTTATATCATGGCGTCTTACGGAGGACGTTGCACGGTTGTCAAGAAAATGTGAACTGTTTACAAAAATATAGATATTTAGGATAATCAATCGCTTCTAATTTTTGAAATGATTTATTTCAAAATTTGAAATAACCTTTTTTTATAGAAATTTATTTGATAAATATAAGAACTTAGGACTAATGTAAGTATGTTCAACATCATTCGGTGATACCAGCATATCCAGTGACTCCTAAAGAGGGCAGTAATCATTGTTAAAGAAAAAAAAAAAACTAATGGCCAATTTTGACATGAATGCATCTATAACTTGACCATGGAACAGACCCTAACCTCATTGTTTTCACTAAACTGTTGAGCTGGCTGCACCGATTTACTGTTTGCATTGCTTGAATTACCAACTGCAAAATCATCAAATTTTATAAAAAGTAGCTAATGCTAAAATCATCATTTCTTTTTGGGATTAATATAGTTTTTCTTACACAGCTCGAGCGTAGGCATCATCCATGACAACAAGAGAGCCTGGTGTTACTATGATATAAGAAGCACTTGCATCATATGCCAAACCTTTTCATCTTAGTATTTCAGCCAGTAACATAATCGAAGATTGTATAAGGCAATTACTTGGCCAATGAAAGAAAAAAAAAAAAACTGAATTCCAGATCTCCACTTGGTAGATTACAACAAGATAGCATTCCATTGGATAAGTTATGCCTTCACTCTCCTTGAAAATATCTTGAATCCTGGAAGTGAAGGGGTTCATTTCCCCAAGAAACTCAATCAGCTACATTTCTCTAGCAAAGAGTTCAATGCATCGAGCAGGTTTAACTCCCGGAACAAGCTCCAACAGTAATTCTCCAATTGGGGGCTTCCTTGAGTAACTTATTGTAATGCTTATATAAGATAAAGTATATGTAAGATATATATATATATATATATATGGATATAATCATATATATTTATTAAATGGAAGTAGAAGTGAAAGTCTGACTTGAATTATTGATAGTTAGAATAAAATCATAATACAAAAATTGTTCGTATCCATAGCTTAAGTCGTTCAAAGTAAAAATTATTTTTGAGAGTTAGTACAATATTTACCAATTGCTCTTTCTCTCTTTCATTTTCTTGAAAGCCTTTTCTTTTTACTTGTTATATAAAACCTTCGCCTTTTCTTCATTTTTATACTGGTCGAATGCCATTATTGTGTGGAGATGCGCGGCAATTGTAACACAAACTATCCAAGGCAATTTTAAGACATGAAAATTATTTGCCCAAGACAATTACTTTCATGGTAACTCACCCATTATGGGTGGTTTCCAACATTTCCCACTCAAATAGATAGATGTCTATAGAGACCCAATTTGGTCCAGGCCCGGATCAATTGGGCTTGGTCCAAATTGATTGGTCCGGGTAAGCCCATTTTTTTTTTATTTTTATTTTCGTATTTTTATTTTTATTTTATTTTTATTATATATTTTTTTCTTTTTTCTTTTCTTTCTTTTTTTCCTTATTTATTTATTTATTTTATCTTTTATATATTTATTATTATTTATCTATTATTACTGTTAATTTATCTGTTAATTTTTTTGTTTATCTGATTATCTTCATTTAATTATATATTAATATTTTTTTTTTGATTTTTTTCTATTGAAGATTGGATTGGTTTTGGAGGAATCCCACTGTGGATTGGGATTCAATCAGAAGGATTCAATGATTGAATACCAATACAAAAAGGAGTTGGGATTGATCAGAAACTCTTCTGATCAATCCCTATAAAAGGACCCTCGGATCAAAGGAAAAAGACAAAGAAAAGAGTTACTGGCTGAGAGGAAAGAACATACAGAAGGTTTAAAAGCTAAGAAAAGGTTTAGAGGCGTGAGGATAGCTCTAAGAATCGGTAGGAATTTTTTACGAATTTTTGTGAATTTTTTTTCTGGAAAATTTTCAGATTTCGGTGAATTTTTCGACGAAGGTTGAATTTTTCAGCAGTTATTCCGACCAAGTTTGAAGTTTCCGGCCAACTTCTCAATTTTCGGTAACATTTTCAGAAATTGATCAGTTTTTCAGCAAACTTTCGACGAAAAATTCATATTCCGACAAAAATTTTCAGAATTCGATGAACATTCAATCGGAGTTCTTCAGTTTCTAGAGAGAAGGGAAAGAAGAAAGAAGGGAAGAGAGAGAAGAGAAGAAGGGTTCTGCTAAAAAAAATGAAGGAATCAACCTTATATACCCTCTCAAAACGACGTCGTTTTTGCGTTAAGTGACCTAGAGGATCCGCGCGTTTTGCCAAGATCTGACCCGACCCGAACGTCGACCCGCTTTTGACCCGCGTGCGACCCGCGTCCCAAGCCGTTAGTCGAGCCAAGTCGATACCCCTGAGCCGCTTCTTCGAGCTGTTTTTCTTCCTTAAGCCGAGCCGAGCCGCAAGCCGAGCCATTCCCAGGTTTTTTTTTTCGTTTATTTATTTATTAATTTTTTTGTTATTATTATTATATTAGAATTGTTTAATATTTTTATTTTTTTATCTTTTATTTATTTTCATTTTTACTTTGTTTATTTTATTTTATTATTTTTATTTTTCTAAAAAAATTCAAAAAAATTATTTTTGAGGAAAAGTTGAAAGTATCAATTTTTCTTAAAGATAAATTTTCAAAAAAAAAAGTTTTGAGGAAAAGTTGAAAGTATCAATTTTCCTCGAAATTAAAAGTTTTCAAAAAATATTGTTAGAAAAAAGATGAAAATATCAATTTTCCTTAAGAATAAATTTTTTAAAAAAGGGGTTTTGAGGAAAAGTTGAAAGTATCAATTTTTCTCGAAATTAAAGGTTTCCAAAAAAATATTTTTGGAAAAAAGTTGAAAGTATCAATTTTCCTTAAGAATAAATTTTCAAAAAGAAGGTTTTGAGGAAAAGTTGAAAGTATCAATTTTCCTCGAAATTAAAGTTTCAAAAGAATATTTCTGGGAAAAAGTTGAAATATCAATTTTTCCCTGTACAAAAGCAATCATTTTTTTCTTTTTTTATTTCTTTTGAATTTTTTTTAATGTCAAATAAATCCGATGATGGAGCCTCTGCAAGTGAAACAGTAGTTTTCTTGCATACTCTTGAGGTGAGGGGATTTTCTCAATTTTTTGCTAAAAGTATTAGAGTCAATTGAGAATAATTTTCAAACAACTAATTACTTGATAAATTTTTAAGGCTTATTGGATAACACAAAATTAAGCTGGTACCATCTTTTGATGGGCGTTGTGAGGGTGCTATAACATTCCTCACACGTAATTGAACTCTCGAACCCTGTTCTGGTTAGTAAATCCCGAACCTATTTTTTAGGGACCCTTAAACTTAGGTGTTCCCTGAAAGGGTAGATTCCTTAGGTGGTCAATCGCACCTAAATAAAAAAGATTGATGGCGACTCCTTCAAGTCAATGTCTAACGATAGATCCCCGGATCTAAACGTTATGACAGCTTGACGACTCTACTGGGGACTTTGAGAGTCAGGCCAGCAAATAACTTGTGTTATCCAAAAGCCTAATAAAATTGAACCTTTTTGTATGTGTTATTATTCACTTATGTTTATTTACTTTGTTAATTTTGTCATTCATATGCATGTGCATAACATGAGCTCTATACCCGAGCTCCGTCCCTCTAGGAGGGAGTAAAGTACCTATTGCTTTCGTGAGGTCTAATCCCTCCGCAGTGGCTAGCGAAATACTCTCACTTAAATTGAATCTTTTTCGCTTATAGCCTGTAATGGGTGAGGATTAGGGTGCCTTACTAGTCTGTGATGGACAAGGATGTAAGGAGCAATTTGGGAACCTTTAGACTTTGACCTTAAACCACATATAGTGAACCTTAAGAGTGTCTAACCTATAGATAGAGCCATCATTCTTCCCTTTTAGAATTGACCAAAAGCATAGGATTCATTCCTCTTAGTCTATGTGATGTTTAAATTTATTTGGTTATTTATTTATTTCTTTTTTCTGGGCATACTAACCTTTTCTCTCATTCTTTTGCATTAGTTCATACGTATATCATAAAGTTGCATAAAGAAAATTTGCTTGAAAGACGGTTTTCAACAAAATTTTTCATGGACTCCACTGAACAACTAGTTTGTTCTTCATCCGTATTAGCACCTTGTGAGACACCCAACGAAGTAAGGGTCCAATAAAAAAAAATTCAACTGAAGATAAGAGATTGCTTGCCAATCGGATATGATTATACTCTGTCTTAAGAAGCATTTATCCTCCTTAAACAGAACAATCTATAGGATTTGGTTAATATCTGAAAGAAGATGAGTCCGTTAAGACAAGAGCAATTTTGCCAGAGACACGGTCATATAACACACCTTTTAGTAGTAGTTGTTGATGATCAACTAATCAGAGCTATAGCATAATTCTGAGATCCTGCATATAAGTGTTTCATTTTTAATGAAGTTGATATGACTCCCACCATCGAAAAATATTCAGTTTTATTAGGTTTACATCTCAAGGCTCCTGACAAGATATATGTCAAAAAACACAAGTCACGATTTCATAAAGGTCTAGCTCAACTTATAGGGATAGACAAGAAGATTGTGGATTCTCATACAAAGAAGAAACAAAAACAGGTTTGCCTACCTTGTAAGCTCTTTCATGAGTTTTTGATGCAACATGCCAATGAAGAACGGGAGTTAGATATATTTGCCTTAGCCATATAAGGAATGGTGATCTTTCCAATATTTTGGGTTATATTGAGATAGCGGTGGTGAAC